AGTCCCATGCTTTATGCAAACTAAATCAAAATAATTGCAAACAAAACTCCCCCTGGGACTCTTGTTAGTTGGAGGCACTCGTTGTTTCGAGCAAGCCATGGATTGATGCTTGTTGGTGGAAGGGGGAGTATAAACTTTACCATTCTGTTTGGGAACTGCCTATACTGTGTGTAGCATGGAAGATATCGCCATCTCCTGGTTGTTATGTTGACAATCAAGTATACCGCTCAAAATTTTATTCATCTCTATTTCAAACCGAGCTCTGGCACCTCTACAAATCCCTGCTTCCCTCTGCGAAGGGCCTATCTATTTACTTTTATACTGAGTCATCATCCTCTTATTAAAAAGCACTAGTTGGAGAGCACCGCTGTCATTTGCATTCATTACTGTTAGTTTACATTGAGTATGACTTGACTGGATCTCTTTTACCATGAATTATAATGTCTAGTCGGTCCTTGGTCTTTAAAGGTGCTCTGCATTTATGTTTTGTGGTCTCAGAAAGGGCTAACGAGATACCACCTTGTTATATTATATTATGATTGTTTTGAGAAAGTGTTGTCATCCGAGATTTATTATTATGGCTTGCTAGTTGATTATGCTATTGATATGAGTAAACTTGAGATCTATGCGTTATTGTGAATGTGGTTAGTTATAATCTTTGCTGAAAACTTGAATGCTGGCTTTACATATTTACAACAACAAGAGCAAACAGAGTTTGTAAAAGTTTTTTCTTTATCACTTTCAGTTTGTCAACTAAATTGCTTGAGGACAAGCAAAGGTTTAAGCTTGGGGGAGTTGATACGTCTCCAACGTATCTACTTTTCCAAACACTTTTGCCCTTGTTTTGGACTCTAACTTGCATGATTTGAATGGAACTAACCCGGACTGACGCTGTTTTCAGCAGAATTACCATGGTGTTATTTATGTGCAGGAGCAAACGTTCTCGGAATGACCTGAAACTTCACGGAGCAACTTTTCAGAAAATATGAAAAATGCCTGCAAAAGATGAAGGCAAGGGGGCCCACCACCTGCCCACGAGGGTGGGGGGCGCGCCCCCCTACCTCGTGGGCCCCCTGTTGCCTCTCCGACTCCAACTCCAACTCCATATATTGAGTTTCGGGGAGAAAAAAATCAGAGAGAAGAAATCATCGCGTTTTACGATATGGAGCCGCTGCCAAGCCCTAAAACCTCTCGGGAGGGCTGATCTGGAGTCCGTTCGGGGCTCCGGAGAGGGGAATCTGTCGCCATCGTCATCATCAACCATCCTCCGTCACCAATTTCATGATGCTCACCGCCATGCGTGAGTAATTCCATCGTAGGCTTGCTGGACGGTGATGGATTGGATGGGATCTATCATGTAATCGAGTTAGTTTTGTTAGGGTTTGATCCCTAGTGTCCACTATGTTCTGAGATTGATGTTGCTATGACTTTGCTATGCTTAATGCTTGTCACTAGGGCTCGAGTGCCATGATTTCAGGTCTGAACCTATTATGCCTTCACCAATATATGAGTGTTCTTGATCCTATCTTGCAAGTCTATAGTCACCTATTATGTGTTATGATCCATTAACCCCGAAGTGACAATAATCGGGATACTTACCGGTGATGACCGTAGTTTGAGTGGTTCATGTATTCACTATGTGTTAATGCTTTGTTCCGGTTCTCTATTAAAAGGAGCCCTTAATATCCCTTAGTTTCCGTAAGGACCCCGCTGCCACGGGAGGATAGGACAAAAGATGTCATGCAAGTTCTTTTCCATAAGCACGTATGACTATACTTGGAATACATGCGTACATTATATTGACGAACTGGAGCTAGTTCTGTGTCACCCTAGGTTATGACTATTACATGATGAACCGCATCCGGCATAATTCTCCATCATCGATCCATTGCCTACGAGCTTTCCATACATTGTTCTTCGCTTATTTATTTTCCCGTTGCTATTGCTATCATCATTACAAAATACCAAAAACATCACTTTTACTACTGTTACCTTTTGTTACCGTTACCACTACTATCATATTACTTTGCTACTAAATACTTTGCTGCAGATATTAAGTTTCTAGGTGTGGTTGAATTGACAACTCAGCTGCTAATACTTGAGAGTATTCTTTGGCTCCCCTTGTGTCGAATCAATAAATTTGGGTTGAATACTTTACCCTCGAAAACTGTTGCGATCCCCTATACTTGCGGGTTATCAGACATGCTTGGAATGGTTTGAGGAGAAAGACGCGAACTTGGGCGCTGGAGCTCGAGTGTGCGAGAATGGATAAGCAAGGAGGAAGGAGGCGTGGGTAAAAAGGGTGAATCTTTGTCCCTTTATAAGGGCGGAGGAGGCGATGCGCCTCCCCACTTACCTGGTAAAATCGCTTATTCCCCGAACGCCGTAATTGATGGCGCGGTTGGGTTACCCATACCCATATTGATGAGAATCCCATGATAAGGAGACACGATCTCTGCTTCGACAAGACGTGTCAAGAAAACCGCCTCGCGATATGTGCAGTGATGGTTGAGAAAAACGGTTTGAATAATGACCGGGCCGTGGTATGATGTCATGCTGTCAAACGTGTCAGCAGATTAGATTTGTGGAAATATTACTCTCTCTACGGTGGTATATGGAACTTGTTTTGCAGAGCCGGACACTATCCTTGTGTTCAAAATCTTCTATGGAGTATTCGGAGGAAGAACCCGCCTTGCAATGCCGAAGACAAATCTGCGCGCCGGACTCATCGTCATTGAAGCCTGGTTCAGGGGCTACTGAGGGAGTCCTGGATTAGGGGGTCTCCGGACAGCCGGACTATATCCTTTGGCCGGACTGTTGGACTATGAAGATACAAGATTGAAGACTTCGTCCCGTGTCCAGATGGGACTCTCCTTGGCATGGAAGGCAAGCTTGGTAATACGGATATGTAGATCTTCTTCCTTGTAACCGACTATGTGTAACCCTAGCCCCCTCTGGTGTCTATATAAACCGGAGGGTTTAGTCCGTAGGACAACAACAATCATACCATAGGCTAGCTTCTAGGGTTTAGCCTCTACGATCTCGTGGTAGATCAACTCTTGTAATACTCATATCATCAAGATCAACCAAGCAGGACGTAGGGTATTACCTCCATCAAGAGGGCCCGAACCTGGGTAAACATCGTGTCCCCCGCCTCCTGTTACCATCCGCCTTAGACGCACAGTTCGGGACCCCCTACCCAAGATCCACCAGTTTTGACACCGACAATATCCTTGAACAAGATCTTCAGCAGTAGTTCCGGAACACATCGACGGCCAGGTCTGATGCGACAAGAGCACAAGGACCGTCACCACACCGCTGCGTCCACCATGCCGACACCATTGTAGCCATGACGGAGGACAGCGGCCCTCGCTGCCCACAGCCTACGACTCCAAGCGCCAGATCTAACGAAACTGGCACCCGCCATCATGCTGCGTCGGCCTGCCCCGCCACCTGTGCCACGCAGCCGCCGCCGCTTCCAGGCATTGCCGCGTCCAAGGCCCGGCTGTCCGAGACACCGTCGCAATGCCCTGCGAGAATGCCGCGCTCCCCACCCGCTCAACATGTCCCCGTGCCGTAGCCAACAGGGGAGGAGGGATAAGAGGCCCTGCTGCCAGTTGGGCTTCGCCCGGCGGTGCCCTCCGGCAGTGGCGAGGGGAGATGAAGGCAGGGAGAAGGTGCGGGCAGCCCCGGCTAGGGTTTCCTCCAACCGCCCTGCCTTCGCCCCTGCCTACACAGTATAGTTTGCTAAGAAAAGATAGACTATACGGTACCAAAAACCCAATTCGGTGCCCAGGCTCATCTGCACCTGGCCAGCAAAAAACTCCAAAAAAAACACTTAAAATTCAAAAAAATCTAAACTTTTTTTGTGTGATAGAAAATTTTATGCATGAGGTTCGCTCTAAATTTCAACTTATTTGGACGTTTGAGCAGCTCTCAGCAAAAAAAGAACAAATAGAATTAGAACAGTGTATGAACAGTAAACTTTTTTATAGTTTCTGATTTTGTCTTTTTTGCTGAGAGTTGCTTAGATGTTCAAATGAGTTAAACTTGAAGCGAACCTCAAGCATAAACTTATCTACCACACAAAAAAATTGTATTTTTTTGAATTTTTTCTATTTATTTTGATTTTTTTTCATCGAGAAGGGTGCAGATGAGCTCAGAAGCAGAAACGCCGAACTCCAAATCATACTATGAAAACGAAGACAAATTACGCGGCGCTAGCAAATCCACATAGCGTACATTGACTTAGTCGATTGAGCGCTTTCATTATTATTTTTCTATAGTATTGTACTACTTCCTCGGTTTTGATTTATTACGAGTCAAAGTTTGACCATCTACAGGACTAACCAAACATGAGATGTGCCACAAAATTGTACTCCCTCCATTTTTAAATATAAGTTTTTTTAGAAGTTTCATCAAATGGACTACAACATACGGATGCGTATAGATATATTTTAAAGTGTAATTCACTCATTTTGTTCCGTATGTAGTTATTTGTTAAATTTTTTAAAAAGACTTATATTTGAAAACGGAGGGAGTATCACTGAATTTGTATTTGGAAGAGCTTTCTCGTGGTGTACATATAGTGTATGCTTCACTAGTGAAATTTATCGTCAAAATTTAACCCAAAATGCGAGGGGGCACAATAAAACTGGGCTGAGGAAGTACGATCTATCGTACTCCAACACAATAAATAAATAACACCACCAATCTACGTATATATTTTTTGTAAACTTTGGCACCGCAGTACAGTTATACGAGTGGCCATACTTTCAGTTCAGGGATCGCCTGGTAATCATCAGCATGTGCATAAACGTGTGCATGTAGCCGGACCATGTAGCCATAGCGATCACCTCTGGTGTAATTATGATATTTCCATCCCATTGACATATTCACAGCTACTATATGTAAGCGTAATTTCCCCTCCGTAATCTTGCAGCAACTGTAGCTGTTCATCCTCCAAATCTCCCGTGTTTGTTGGAGACGAGAGCTTGTTGCTAGTTGAAGCGGTTGAAGAAGGAGACGACGTCTTTGTAGACGTAGTCCTTGGCGCAGGTGCCGATGACGAAGTCGGCGTGCGCGAACTGCTCCAGGTACTGCACCGTGAGCCTGCCGGGGTCGTGGCCCCGGAGGTCGCCGAGGAGGCGGCCGACGTCGACGGGGTCGGCCAGCTCGTCCCGGCCGCCGTAGCTGAGGAAGAGCGGGAAGCCCGGCGGTATGTTGGACATGTTGTACGCCGGCGGGTCCGGCTGGCCGTACTTCTCCACGTTCACGCCCGGCCACACGTAGTCGTACTTGGACAGCACGCCGTCGCGGAACGTCTGGGCGAGGTGCACCATGGTCTTGGTGGACGTCGGCTGCGGCTCGTACTGGAGGAAGACGTCCACGGCCGAGCTGTTGAGGCAGTAGTTCTTCCCTGCCGTACGCACACGCCATGGACGCTCAGCTCTGAAACCTCTCGATGCATGCACACATACTAGTACTAGCAAAAAGTAGAGATACCTGTGAAGTCTGTGAGGAGGTCGTAGCAGTTGGTTCCAGGATGGCGGCACAGTTCCTTGAAGAGGCTCGCCACCGCCGGCCTGCAGCGAACAATGAAGCAACAAGGCGTCAGCCAGCTCCGAAGAAGCAGGAATTCAATCAGTCTCCGAACTGAAGATACTGGTACGAGAATGAATGGCGTACGTTACTGGGTTGAACTCCGCCACACCGAGGATGGTGATGAGCTGGTTGGTCGTCAACATGGAACAAAAATCACACGGATTATAGTACATGGATGCACATGTCAGCAATTAAGTTGAGAACAAGACCGGATTCAGCTGTACCTCTCCGACGAATGCCTTGGCTAGCAGTATGCCGAGGGGGGTGGTCATGTGGGACAGATAGGCGACCGGGGTCAGCAGCGCCGCCGACTTGAGCTTGTCCACCGTTCTGCCCTCCGAGAAGGCCGCCAGCGCCACCAGCGTCCCCTGCATACACACGTACATAAGTGCCAGAAGCAGCATGGTCGACCACGAGCAATGGAGGAGGAATGGCCGGGCCGAGACTGAGAAAGCTCTGAACGGCTTGTTTACTTACCATGGAGTGGCCGAGGAAGTGCGGCTTCTGCGCCGTGTGGCTGCAGATATAGTCAACCATGCTCGGCATGTCGTTCACCACCAGGTCGTCCCACGACCAGTCCCAGTACCTCTGGTCACAATTAGTTAGGACGACTTAATCAGGATAACTAATTTAGTAGTTGGCCCGGGTATCCATCATTCACTATTGTAGTCGGAGTAGGTACCCGGGAGGAGGAGTCGAGGGAGACGTGGCGGCTGCTCCACCTGGTGCCCCTGTTGTTGGCGACCCAGACGTCGAAGCCGCTGTCCGCGAGGATGTACGCCAACGATTCCTCCGGCGAGCTCAGCAGCCATGTCATGCCGTCCTGCATGCATGCATGCATGCCCCGGCGCCGTTAGTCCCCCTTATCTCTCACATCAATGCACCATACCAAATCTCTACCATTATTTTTGTGTCATGCCCAAACGTGCAGCCTCCAAGGGCACGCACGCATGACGGCATCGATCAAATCTCTTTGTGCCACACACGACGCGGCGTCCGCCGGCGTGCATGACACCATCCATCATAAAACCATGTTTGGCGCCATGCATGCCCTGTGCGCGATTATCCTAACTTATGGGAGGAAGTCCACGACGGACTAAACACACGCGTACCGTGAGAACGCCGTGCTGCAGGAGCACCGGCTGCCCCGCGCCGCCGCCGCCGCTGGGGCGCCGCCCCCTCGGGATCCGTTGCAGGCTCAGGATGTACCCGTCCACCGTCGTCATCTACACCCCAATCAACAAGCCAATGAATCAACGACGGGTCATCTTCTAACACGACGGGAGCATCTGATCGATCTGTGCCAAGATCAGTCCGAACCGTGTGCTCCTCGCAGGGGTAGCCGAAGGGCGCCACGGCCAGCGCGCACGCACCCACGCCCGCGGGAACACTGTCGCGCCGCCTCGTCGCGAGGTGACCGGCCGGGACGCGGGCCTCGGCGCCGGCGGCGCAGAGGATGACCAGCACGGCGACCGCCGCAGGGCCCATGCTTGCCGCCCGTGCGCGCGGCGGGGCGTCCACCACTCCACTAGCTAGCTACCTCTGGTGCCTTGGTGTGGTGGCGGTGGTGCGCGGATAGTGCTGATCGAGTGCGCGCGATCGAGGGGGTATTTAAAGTGCGAGAAAGGTGGCGCGGATGGATGGAGGCGACCGAGGTTAGTGCAGTGCAGGGCGAGTGATCCGGCCGGCGAGGTGGACTGCGCCTGCGTGTGAACGGATGGGCCGGCCGGTGAGCGGGATGAGATTCCTGCATGGTTTTCTCTTGCTTTCTTCGACTCGACACCTTTAACTGGCTGGCTCAGCTTGGCCCTGGGGATGAGCACCGGCCATGCTGCCTTGCTTGCACGGCTGCACGTCCGCTTAATTAGCATACGTGTGTTTTCACAAGTTATTTGGTCTTGCTAAATTCTACTCCCTCCGTTTCTAGATATACGTTCTTTTAGAAATTTCACTATAAACTATATAGAAGCAAAATAAATGAATTTACACTCTAAAATATATCTATATAGATCCGTATATAGTTCATAGTGGAATCATTAAAAAGAATTATAGTAGCAATTGTGTAACTGCGATGCTGTGCCCGGGTCTCGAAGGTAACTAATCGACAGTCTGAAATGGTGAAACCGGGACCGACATGTGTGTTGGAACCACCAGTCCCTCGCTGCTGCCCTCCTCTCTCTTTGTGTTGCCGTAGCTCGAACCAACGAAGAAGAAAGGAAGGAGGAAGAAGAAAAGGACACGGCAAGGATTTTTCCCAACGCACGAACACCTCAACCTTGAGCTCAAACTCAAAAACCCCGCACAGTTACAACGATCACCGCCACGGCTTTATACCTAGAGCCAGCGACCGGGCACGCACCTACGCTCCCCCCCTTCGCGCCCGCGATCCACCCGCCTCGCTCGTGCCCACGACGCTCTCCGATGCGTACGGGTCACGACAGGCCTCCAACAGATCGCACGCGATCACCCCGCGCGACTCGCTAACAGCCTGCGGCCACAAACACACTGCGCACACCCGCACGGACACGCCCGTGTTGTATGCACACACGCACGCACGTGCTACTCGTCGCAGACCCGGCGCACCCGACGCGTCCAGCTCGTGCCCATACACGAGCTAGTCGAGCCCGATACGCGACCGCGGCTTATTTGCCCTACATTTCACCTCCCTAAGCCGTGGCTCAGAGCAGGCCGCCGTCCTCGATGTCGCCATTGGCCAGCAGTGCACGCTCCCTCGACGGCTCCTTCTTGAGCTGCGGGCACTCCCGCTTGAAGTGGACGCGCCCGCCGCCCTTATAGAAACGCCCTCGCCGGTTGGAGCCGAAGCCCGACGCGTTGCTGCGCACGTCGTCGTCGTCCCGCACACCTCCCTGATGCCGATCCCGAGCTCGCCACTGCGCCGCCGTGTACATGAGCTGCCCGTCGCTTCGCTCGCCGCCAGCCTGCCCGCGCCGTCGCAGCCGCTCGTTGAACGCCTTCAGGCGTCCCAGCGCGTCCTCAAATAGCAGCGTCGACAAGTCGCAGAACTGCTCCATCCCGGCGACCGCCGCGTACAAGCGATCCGGGACGCAGTCCAGCAACTTTTTCACCATCACCGCGTCGTCAAGGGTAGCTCCCAGCCCGACGTAGCGCGCTGCCATGCCGCTGATCTTGCCCGCGAAGGCGTCCAGTGACTCACCGCTGTCCATCCGCAGGAGCTCGAACTCGCTGCGCAATGTGCCCAGCCGCGCCGCCCTAACGCGATCGGCCCCGACGAAGCGCGCCTTGAGGCTGGCCCAGACCTTCGCCACCGTCTTCTTCGATGCCACCTGCAGGAGCAGGTCTTCCGCGAGCGCGCCGAGCAGGTATGCCCTCGCCGGCTTGTCCTTCTTGGCGATCACGGCCGCCGCCGCGTCCTCTGGCACGACCACCGCCTCCCACAGCCCGGCCGCGTTGAGGTTTGCCTCGACCTTTGATGGCCCACACCGTGTAGTTGTCGCTGGTGAGCTGCGGCACCATCTGAGGCAGCGATCCGCCCGCACCGCCGCCATAGGGGACGATCGACATCGCCAGCACGCCCCGACCTTCACGTGGCTCTGATGCCAAATGTTGGAACTGCCAGTCCCTCGCTACTGCCCTCCTCTCTCTTTCTGTTGCCGTGGCTCGAACCGACGAAGAAGAAAGGAAGGAGGAACAAGAACAGGAACACAGCAAGGATTTTTTCTGGCGCACGAACGTCTCAACCTTGAGCTCAAACTCAAAAACCCCGCACCGTTACAACGATCACCGCCGCGGCTTTATACCTAGAGCCAGCGACCGGGCACGCACCCACGCTCCCTCCCCCTTCGCACCCGCGATCCGCCCGCCTCGCTCGTGCCCACGACGCGCTCCGACGCGCAAGGGTCACGGCAGGCCTCCAACAGATCACACGCAATCACCCCACGCGGCTCGCCAATGGCCTGCGGCCACACACACCGCGCACACCCACATGGCCATGACCGTGCTGTACGCAAACACGCACGCACGCGCTACTCGCCGCGAACCCGGCGCACCCGACGCGTCCAGCTCGCGCCCATACACGAGCTAGTCGAGCCCGATGCGCCACCGCGGTTTATTTGCCCTACAATATGTCCCAGTCAAGTAACCCTACTACGTACATGGGTTCACTTCTTGTACTGTTGTGGATAGATGATTAAGGAGCAGTATCACTTCTTTCTTTGATGTCGACGTGCCTTTGTAGAGTGACACGTGTAATGGGTCGCAACAAAATGTCGAGTGAATCATCTCCATGCTGCGTGGTCAAATGCTTAGTACCTGGTCCACAACACTGAGATGCAGTATAAAAGCTAGAGGTCTCCAGATGTCATTATGAGTCAAACAATGCAATGCAATACATCGTGTCATCGTGGGAGGGAGCGGTGTACTTTATGTTTCACATTATTTTCGTACTCCATGTATGTATGTATGTATGTGTGTGTTGTAGCAGAAGGATATTGCGCAAAAATAAGACCACATAGCTAGTGGGGCATACAATGGTGGAGCAATTCCCTTCTTTTTGTTGCCACAACATAGCAATCATAATGTTATATATACTCCTGCGCCTGCCACCAAACTTTAGCTCGAATTGTAGGCATGCATGGTCAATAGCTACATTTTGTGAAACCACAGACCTCCTCCCCTCCCCCCCCCGGAGCCCCCGCGTCGTCCGCTCGAGCGACTCGGGAGGCGACTAGGGTTTCCACCTAGCGCCGCCACCCCCCGCCTCCTCCCCCCTCGTCGCCACCCGAGGAGGCCGCCGGTGACGGTGGCGGCGAGGCCCTGCTCGCTCTGGTTCCTGGCGGAGGAATGCGGATCTGGGGCGGCGGCCCTTCATGGCGTGGCGGCGGCGCCCTTCCGGCTGGCGGCGTTCGCGGGGGATCCTGGCCGGCGTTCCCGACCACACGGGTGGTGGGACAGCGGCAGGTGGTGGCTGCGGCGTGGAGACCCCCCTTCTCGCCAGATCTGAGGTTCGGCTCCCCTTCCCTTCGGCTCCCTCATCCTCGCCGTTGCTCCGGTCGCCGGATAGGTGCTGATGGATGCCCGGTGGTGTGGTTTTGGGACCGTGGGAAACCATCGGTCGGCTGGTCCGGCCCGGCGGCAGCTGATGAAGCTATGTACCTAGGGTAGGGTCATGGATCTGATCAGATACCCTCCCCAAGGACATCCCTTAAAGAACCAGAAGCAGTCGAAGAAAAATCATCGTCCACTCGACCATAAAGCCATGTTCCACTCGACAATCTTGAAGACACTCGACCGTACGAACAACCACTCGACTACCAGAAGATCAAGAGCCGCTCACTCTGCAACGGACGGGATTTAAGTCATAGCTTTAATGATCATTTATGTACTTTTATTAGAGGCGTTACCAGTAACGTCTCTACCTTTATGTACCCTTAAACCCTTCGTAACTGAGGGCAGGAGGTGTCTGGCGAACTCTATATAAGCCACCCCCTCCTCAGGGACAAGGGTTCGCACCCCCTGTAACTCACACGCGCATAATCCAGTCGACCGCCTCCGGGCTCCGAGACGTAGGGCTGTTACTTCCTCCGAGAAGGGCCTGAACTCGTAAATTTCGCGTGTACAACTCCTTCATAGCTAGGATCTTGCCTCTACATCCCTACCCCCCATTCTACTGTCAGATCTAGAACCACGACAGTTGGCGCCCACCTTGGGGCAGGTGTCTTAGCGACTTTTTGGAGAAGTTGCAATTTTTCCGATCCCCTTCATCATGGTTTCAGGTGGAGGTTTGGCTGAGGGCCGCGAGATCCGTCTCGGCGCGCTCGTGTTTGTCGCCGATGACTCCGCTTGGCTTCAGGAGGCTCCACTCGACGTCGAGGCACTCCCCGTCAGCGGGGCAACGCACTTTCACGCGTGCGTCTGCGGCGTCGTCTTGTGGCAGCCGTCGACCTAGTATCGGTCGGCTCCTATGGCTTCCCCCCTCCATGCGGCCCGCCGGAGCAAACGTTCCGATCGATCGAGGCTTTAGTGGTGGGTGAAGCATGCGGTGGCTCACCAGTCGGCCACCCCCCAAGTCGTGGCAATCGAGCCTGACGAAACCCTCTACGGCCTGTTCGATCTGTCGACTGGCTCCGTAGAGACTGCATCCGAGTGCGACAGCAGCGACCCAGCGGCGGAAGTTTTGATGGTCAATGGGCCACGCAGTCCTCCTGGCTTCACCCATGAAGACGGAGGCGATGGGGGCGGCGATCCGTCGCGTATTCATGAAGAGTAATGCCCCGAACCCCTCTCTTCGCAGCGGAGAGAAGAACTTCACCGCCGGAACATGGATGCACTCCATACTCCTATCGTTGGAGAAACCCCTGAGGCCCAGGCCTTGGAGGAGGTGCGCTTGGCCAACTTGGCTGAGCGCACTCGACTGGAGAACCTCCAGTGCGCACTCGACGAGCGTGCTCGACAGCGTGCTCCCGAATCCAGTCGACGTCAACTTTTTCCGCCTTCGACTCAGGTATACC